TAAAAAAATGATAATTTTTCTTATTTCATTTTCTTCGAAAAAAGCCTTCGAGAATATGCATAGAAAGTAATTTACTTCGATTCGTAACAATAACCAAGGTTCCAAGTTCGTTACTACATACAATCGGACTGTAAGTGTGCACATCTTCACATAATTGATTTACATTGATTTTTTACATAATTCTCACAATCTTACTTTTTCAACTGGTTGACATAATATCTCAAGGTCTATATTATCGCCCGAACTAGATGAATTCGAAAATATTGATTTCACTACCTTTTTAGTAACACCTTAAACGTGCAAAAAATATAAAAATTCGAAACTCTAACTTCGAAGTGCTGTCATTTCTTTGTTAATACGGGACACTTTCTTTTATAGCACTTACTCCAATGTTCATGTATTTGGCATTACCAATACTTGATAAAAATATTGTATACACAAGAAATATAACTGAATACGTAAATGAATCTACAATATAAAACAATTTATGATTTGTTTAAGAAAAAAAAAGAAACAGAAAGAATGCCAAGAAAAACGCACGTCCAAATCGAAATACATTCCTAAAACGCAAACGAATCATTCCACCGAGGAGCTGGGTTAATAAACAATTCCTGCGCGGTAAAACAAATTCGGTTCGTTGCCTCGAGACGGACGGGATTTGCGATACGTTAAACAGCTTATCATTTTTATCATGTTCGAGAGCAGCGCTAATTGTTGAAATCGCAAGAATCATCGGCGCAGGGCGAGCAGTGCTAACCGTATCGGGAACGGTGCTTATTCTGTCACAGCCGCACCATAAATCGGGATAACCGTAATGACCACCCTCGGATAGCAGCATGATGAACTGCCTCCGAAATGCTACTTCGATCATCCCCAATCAACGTTGTCGCGCGATCAAGAAGTGGCTCGCGTTCATCGTTATTACACGGCCACATAAATACCACCCACGATCTCGTTACTCCACGATCCACCTAACCGGCGAACGTTTCCCAATGGTATCGTGGAAAAAAAAGAAAAGGAAAGAGCATTTCATTCTTTCTGCGGTCAAGGATGGAAGCGCGCCGTCCAATCAATTATTTGTGAACTTTAACGCGCTACTCCTTTCTGCTTTCGAGCGAGTCGAAGCGATGAAAAAAATTAGACAGAGACGGTGGAAGACCTTGTCGACGGGGTTGTAACCAGAGTTGGGCGAAGTTTCATTCGGATAACGGATAAGAGACGAAGACTAACGAAAATACTTTTATTCGGCGCTATCGAGTAAATATAAAGTCGAATAAAAATTTATCGGAATACGATTTTGTTCGAATAAGAATGAATCCATTGAAATAAAATTTTATTCGAATTTAACATTTATCCGAATACGATTTTGTTCGAATAAGAATGAAGCCATTGACATAAAATTTTATTCCAATTAAAATTTATTCGTAATGGAGTTTATAAGCATTAATAGAATGTGAAGTGTTTTATTTTTATAGTTTAATAGAGATTAGATTTATTTCTGATTTATTCGCATTATTATTCGAATAGTTTTATCATCTCTGTTCGAATAACTTGTTCGAGTAAAATAGATGCAACAGATAGAATAATTTATGATGAACAGTGAATAATTGCTATTCGAATAGAATATTTGACTAAAAAGAATTCGTTCAGACAATTGTCGTAGATAAATATTTGTTCGAAACAATTCGAATAATGCTCAACTCTTGTTACAACTAAACGTGGAACAAGAAAACGTGGAAATTAACAATTACTATTATCATTTTTGCTATTTCTTTACAATAAAGAAGCTTTTAGTTGACAAAGGACATTTTTGCCGAACTCTGATTTTTATAAATAAGGTATGAGAATGGGAGTTTGCATAAAGTCGGATGAGGATTTAAGACAAAATTATGTGACTCGAATACAAAACAGTAAAGGCATTTGAAGAATTAAAAAATACTATTTTCAACATAGACAAACGTTTAAAAAAGGGAATAAATATCCACGTAGCTCCTATGTCTTGTAATTAATGCAAACAAGTTTCATTATTTATTATATAAAAATCCACGGTGCAATAGTGAGCTTTACGTCTTATTGCTTAGAAGAAAATAAAAAGCAACACTGTAGAAAATGACGTCGTTTGAAACATAAAACACATTATCATCGCAGAAACGATTTACTTATCCACAAATAATCACGGAAAATATTTGATGAAAATATTTGATGAAAATACGAATAAAATAATCTCGTTCGACCACCGAACGCTTGAAAATTACTGGGAATTGTGTACAGGTTATGTTTTATTATACACAAATTATTAAAATATTTTAACTTTTCGCAACAGTAAAGTCGGGGTTTTTTGATTGGCCGCAATGGGATTCCGCGCCGATTATTGTTTCATTTTTTCGGTCCGAATTTTGCATGTAAATGAAAACGCTAATATTTAATATAAATGTGGACAATTGTTTATATCGTTAATACATGCTGCGAGTATTTTTCATTTGAACTTAAATTACGCAGACATTCAATTTGCCCGATTTATTTATTACATATATACGCAGAAATGCTATCTGAGGGATGCACTGTATTTAATATTCATGCGCATCAGCTCCGGTAAATTTGATGATACACACCGAAGATTTTGGTAAATCTGTAATTAACGCGATAAAAATATGCGTGTGTTAATTTCGTTTTATATAATTCTACGTAGGATACGAGCTATAAATCATAACGTAATTAATAAAGCTATAGATCGAAATGGTATATAAATTGTGCACCGATCATTAATTACAGTCCCTGCTATAATAATTATCTAATTAATAATTACTATCCGTGCTGTATCTAACGCGCAATCTTTCTGTTTGCATTTGATAACGTTTTTCGCTGGAAATCGCAATTAGTTACAATTACACCACCGTTCGATTGTTTCGCGTATTATTAGACAGATCTCTAGCGCGAAATTAATTAATAAGATTAATTAATCTTCTTATCGGTTTAGACAATGAAAGTTTTACCGCATTCAATTGGAAATCTAGTTTACCAACCTCTAAAAATCGGCTTTTCTTACGTTAACTAATAATTACTCGCACAAAAATTCTATTCTTGAAATTTTAAGCATTTCCCTAAATACAATTCTTTCGTATTCATCTTGAATTAAACGATAACTAATATGTGTATGAAATCTAATTGAATCTTCTTACGTTTTGCAGTTCCATTTATTTAAAAATGCAAGATGTGTTAACTGTAAACTAGAACGCTTCTTGCTTTATTGACTCAGTTGATATGATAAACTGTTTATTTGATATAAATCTTTGTAGTTAATACTGCTTATTATTTTGCAGTTAATAGAAATTGTATTTGCAAATAAACGGAACTGAAAAAATTTGTATAGCACGACGAAAGTATAATAAAAACTTATACAAAGTTTCAGTTTAATTAACTTCATTTGCTTCTTTTATGGAAATTCTTTGATCCAGATGTCGATATGCAACTTGAATCCGTCGAATGAAAACGAAAAATTGTTATAAAATCGATATTTTTGTATTAGAAAGACAGAGAAATTCGTCTGACAAAGTTATCTAAACAATCTTTGATTTGACCGTCATCGATGCAGCGAGATCCTCGTACCATTTTCTCGTTACGCTACGGACGACGGTAAACACCGTCTCATCGATTTATTTAGCGGGCTTTCGAAGTGTGGGTTCAAAGGGAGTCGCGGGTCGGCAGAGACGCGAGCAAGTTTCACGAGCAGCCGAGAAGTTATTTGTATTGTCTTCGCGAGCAAGCGCAACAAGTTGACAGACACCGTCGTCGTCGTGGATGTAGAAAAAGTTTACGATGTAATGTCGAGTTACGTAACTCGGTCGGGTGCGTTGATGCAAATACGAAACGGGCCGTTTTGTTTCGCCGTTTCAAGTACGCAAGTCGTCGCGACGAAATAAATCGTCGCGACAGGGAACAGCGATCGTACAATGGAATTTCGATTGCTCGGATTTCTGAATATTTCTATTATTCTCTGTGTTTGCTCGAAAAATCTTGTCGTTACGTTCTTGATAATTAGTTACTAGGTGCGAAGGCATGCGTGTTATATCCGTGACGATTTCGTTGTTGTACTCAGATGTACCGCATAACGATTATTTCAATTTCATGGAATAAATTGGAAAAATATATGGCGAAAGTATGTTAATCAAAATATACAGGGTATCGCTCGACTGATGCTTATTATAACTATAATTTATTTGTTTTTTAAAATTGGTAGAGGTATAGTTCACGACGGTAGTTAAAATATTGCGAAATAAATTCGATACAAAATTGATAGCCTTTATCAGCAAAGTCCAGCGAAGAGTTTAAGTATTTCCATTCAGCTATAGATAGTAGAGGTATTTAAATGAATATGTTATTAGAGTGGAATAGAAATATGTTAAATATAATATAAAATTATATTAAATATATTATATTATTATATTATATTATTAAATATATTATTAAATAATATATATAATATGATAATATATATAATATATTATTAACCCTTTGCAGTCGAAGGCATTTTGACTCGAAATCCAAAACAGTTCTTCTGACCTATAGTATTTCCATGTTATGTAACTTGGTGCATTTTATACCTATGAAATTGAATTATGCGACTCGTGCAATAGTTACACTCTTAACAGTTTTTTAAATATAAATTAAATTTGATAATGTTACAATTATTTCGAAACATGCTATCAAAATTCTTAATGGCGACTTAGAGTCGCCACTCGACTCCAAAGAGTTAAATATATTATATAAATAAAATAAAATAAATAGAATATATAGGTTACTCCGATCGATAGTGCTTACTATCGATAGTACTATCGATATCTATCTTATAATTAACTATTCTCCACCACTGCAGGGTATCCGGTTATCGACACACGGGTTAGAAAAAATGCAATATTTTCTATTCACCTTGACAGTAAAAGATAAAGGTTATAATTGCGTGGACAAGGTGCTAATGGGAACCGCGTTTGGAATGATTTCAGACTCACGGAACGGCTCTTCGGAGATGGTAGACATGCCCGCGGGAACTGTCCCCAATTTGGCCGCCGTGGCCGGCGAGGACATGGCATCCTTGTGGGCGTCCTACGCAATGGGACTAAAGAAGACACCGCCGCCAGGATCGTCCGCGACGCCCTCGCGATCGGATCGCGATCGTGAGTCCAGTCCACCGGGGGGCGAAGGGACGGGGAGCGCTCACGACGAGACCAGCAGCAGTGGTAATAAAGAGGACGAGGACGACGACGACGAAGACGCCGACGAGAGGCTGGACCCCAGACATCATGACCCGGAGCGCCTGAAGGCTTTCAACGTGAGTTTTCAAGTCCCCGTTTCGCGTTTGCAGGCTCTTTCCCGCGGCCGAGCTCTTTTCGGGATGAAGGAGAACTGTAATGGCCGGAGCACTCTCGATATTTTTTTTTATTTTGCGCCGCGCAGTTTCGTCAAAATGTCGCTGTTGTTCGAAACATTTCCACGCGAAAATTACATCAACCATCTAGGATGAGCGCGTCAATTATTGTGCACCGGTTGCTGTGGTTTTACAATAATTTTACTTATATTTAATACTGGATTTACGGAATCCGCCAAAATGGTCATCAATCCGTCACTAATTTTTTAATTTACGATTATTCTTATCGTAAAGATAAAATTTATGAATTATTTATTCAATTTATATAGTAATTATGGCAAATGTTACAATGACGCTTGTTAAAAAACAGAATAAATGTCTTATTGTTACTTTTATAAACTAATATAAAACAGCTGTTTTTTGTGCTCTGTAAATCTAGTGTCAAAAAGAACAATATTAAATTACAGATATTAGATTTTTTAAATGAAATTTGATATATAATTTTCATAACCGAATCAAAACTTTAACTTCTTCTGACCTATAAAATGAGGAAACTAATTTTTTAGATTTCTGATGATGATTTAATGTGTTTTTGGCTTGATCTGATGA